CTACATAAAGAATCAAATCCAAATTGATTTGTTTCTCCATAATAACCCCATACAAATATCCCTGTCAACATCCACCCTCAAGACTCATTCCAAACCATGTTTTATCGAGTTTTGTTGATATCAATAAACGTTGACCTTTGACCTGCGACAGATATACACACTAACAAATTTCAGTTTTTTTGACCACTTTTTTTCGGCATGACCCTCCTTTCAGTCGAGGGAATAAAAATTGATTATAATATCAATAGTAACAATTTACAAAAGAAATCTATGAAAAAAAGATTTAATTACACGATGAAATAAAATTATTCGTCAGACGTTTAAACGAAAGCAAAACAATATTTCATAGTTCTATATAAATCAATTTTCGTTGTTTCTTCTTTCCTTTTCGTTCCGCTTCGACTATTTTACTATTTGACAGGTACATAGTGATGAACATCATGTCTTAACGAAACTTATTTTTTCTGTTCGTTCTTGACCTTAGATGATTCATTTTGAACTTTGTTATTTTCTATTCTCATTCCAAACTTTGTGTTCGGAAGAACTTTTAATCAATTAAAATGAATGATTTGGATTTTCTATATGAAATGAACAATAGTTATTATGAATTACAAAGATTCTTTGTCAAATTTCAATCGAAATATTTGAAATTAAAATATTTTGTATTTTTATTGATTTTTCTTGGTGTGATTTTCATTAGTCTATTCACAGTATTGAATTATTCTCATTTGACACCCAAAGTACCTCCTAAACCTCCTTGTCGTCCATTTACGGCGCCTGATAATCGTTCATTTTTCGAACGTGAATATTCTCAATCGAATTTACCGAAACAAATCAGCAATTCATCTTCTCAAGATCTTCTTCGACAACTTCGTTCTCTTCGTTTAGTTGTTTTATCTTGTGCTCGTAATATTGAAAAACAAATTGATCGATATCGAAATCATATTGAACCAATTGTTAATCTTTTTCATCCCTCATCTTCAATTCATATTTGTGAAAGTGATTCAAAAGACAAAACAGTCAAAAAACTTCGTCAATGGTCTCGTGTACAACTTTATTCATATCGACAACTTTCCAAAACATGGTTTGGAATGAGTCTTGAGGGTGGATGTTGACAGGGATATTTGTATGGGGTTATTATGGAGAAACAAATCAATTGGATTTGATTCTTTATGTAGTGTTGGTTTGAGGATCGTGTGTGATATGTAAATGATTTTTGAACTATGATCCACATTTGATATTTATTGTACTTGTGGATTGTAACGAGTTGTTTTTTGTTGATGTTGACATATAATGTTATTTTTATTTGGATATATGAAGCTTCTCTTGTTTCTATGACTCGTATGATATGAATCAATGGAAATATTTATTCATTGTTGAGTAATGTGTGCAATTGTTAAACTTCATTTGAAAGATCGAATGAAAGGAAAAGTTTGCTTTTGTTTTCTTTCTTTTTGATTTTGCATTTAGTAACCTGTGTATCTTGGTCTTTCTTCCGTGTCACAATCTGATAATGGTCTCAAAGAATATTTATTGTCTGAGAATGAAGATGAACATGAGAGAGAAGATAATTTAGTAAATCGTTCACCAACTATGCTTACCTACTTCGATTCTTAACATAATCCGTTAAATTTAGGTTTCTTCCTTTTCATTGTCGAGAGTTTGTCGTCGGTTTTTATTCAAAATTGTAAGTAAATATTATTCTTAGTTAAATTTTGCTTCGCAAGCAAGATTGGGAATAAAGATAAATTCATTTTTATAGAAACAAACTGATGGATGATATCTTCAACTTCATTAACACATCATCACCAGAACTATTCAGTTTTGTGCTTTTTTGTGATATGACAAACTTGAAAAAGCGATAGATTTCTCGTCCATCGATGATGAAATATAAAAAAAATGTCGCTGAAGAGATAACCAAACTAAAAGAATAACACCATCCTATGAGACAAACAATTGGTTTTGATTGTTGAAATGAACCATATTGATAAGATACAATATGATATCTGACAATTGAACAGAAAGATTTCTAAGAAGATTAATGAGAATTGTATGATTTTGTAATACTTGTCGACGAACTCGATTTTTAGAGTGTGGATGATCTAAAGAGAAGAACGACACCCACACCCATCTCAACGTATTCTCTTGTTATATAGCGATTAATAAAATTCTTTTGAGACTGTGATTGAGTGAAGATATTCACATTCGTACACCCTCTTTCTTTCGAAAGGAAATCGAAGAATTAAATTTATTTTAAAGATCTTAAACATTCAACCCTATAGGTGTATTTCGGAAAAAGTTCACAATTTTTTGTCGTTCAACGAAAGTGATGTTATTATTAGCAGCATTGAATGTTTTCAGTGTTCTCATATTTGTCATTTGATATGGAATAGTAATCAATCGATTAGAATTGATAGATAACATTTGTAATGTCGATGATAATTTCATAATTTCAAGTGGAATTGATGAGATTTGATTAAAAGGTAAATCTAATCTTTGTAATGATTTATATTCTGCAATTCCATCGAGCGATGTTAATGAATTATTATTAAGATAAAGTTCTCGAATATAAATAAGAGGTGGTTGAAAAATCTTCTCTTGAAATTTATTATTCATTAATTTCAAAATTTGTAAATTTGGTAAATCATTTGATAATGTCGAAGGTAATGATGATAATTGATTGAATTGCATCGTTAATGTTTTTAAAGATTTTAACGATAAAATACTTTGAGGAAATGATTTCAATTGACAGTTTGAAAGATCGAGTTCTTTGATCAACGGAAGGTTTGTAAATGAAATATTTTCTAAAAATGGACTTCCGACAACACGAATAGTTGATATCAATGGGAGATTTTCAAACGAAATTGATTGAAGATTCGAAAGTAAAGCTGATTCAAAAGTCGATAATGAAGATAAATTGTTGAATGTAATTGTTTTTAATTGTTCACTATTTGTCAACCATATTGATTGAAGTGTGGAGATATTTTCCATTTCTAATGAAATTAATTTTGTATTTGATAAAAGTGTAAAAGATTGTAAAAGATTTAGATTTTGTATTTTTAATTCTAATAATTCATTGTTGTATGAAATATCAATGGAAGATAATTTCAACATATCCGTTATTTTAAGTGATTTTAACATTAAATTCGATGCCATTTTTAGAGAAGATAAATTATTTAGATTTTCTAATTCGAATTTATTTATATTCGTTTTTGTTATTTCTAATCTTTGTAAGAATTGATAATTATTTATTGTTGAAGGGATATTCGATAAATTCGGTAAATCGATTAAGTTTAAAATGTAAAGATTTACTAATTTTCGCATATTTTCATCGGAAAGTTTTTTAAAATTTGGAATTTCTTTGAGAGTTAACGATCGTAATTGAACTAAATATTCAATTTCATCTGGTAAATCTTCAAGATTTTTTATATCGGTTAATGCTAATTCGTTCATCGATGTTAATTCTCCTAATTCCGATGGTAAATGTTGATTAATCATTCCATTGTCCGATTGAATTATTAATGAAGTAAGATTTTGAAAATTTTTTATATCAGATAAAATCGGTAAATTCGTATTGATTAATCGAAGAGATTGTAAATTTTTCAAACAATAGATATTTGAAGAAGGATTCTGATCATTAAATATATTAAAACTCGTTACTTGACGTGATGTTGCATTGTAATCAATTGATGAAAGAAGAGGATATCGATTTGGTCGAACATAAAATGGATTTAAATTGATTATATCGATGTCATCAGAATAGATTGTACAATCAATTTGTGCATTGATAATTACATTCAAATTGATGAAAGAGAAATAAATAAACAGCAATACTGGAATAGATTTCATGTTTTGTGACGCGTCCTTCTGTTTTTTTAGTTTTCATCGATTTTTATTCATTGAGAAATAGCAGATGTTTGTTTTCTCATTCGCTTTTTATTCGTCATGATCAACACAGGTGATTATGTTCCCAAAGAGCAAACAAAGTTTAGAATTGACGACGTGTTATTAATACACATACGAGGCAAAAATGACGTGAGTAGTTTTCGTAAATTTTCTTTTTTTCAAATATTTTCTTCATTGAAATTGTTTTTTCTCAATATTTAAAACCTCAGTGTAACAAATGAGTGGAGGTAAAGCGAACGTTTATCTTAGCCCTAATTCAAATCAATACCCTCACTGATATATATATAAGCACAATATCAATAAATCTCAAATTCTTCCAGATTCATAGAGAAATAGAAAAAGATATGTTGGTGCAGTAAAAGAAAAACTTGTGAGAGAAGATACGAGATTGTCTATGAAAACAAAGACTAATACTAGTTTTTGCTTTTATTATGCAAAAGTGTGATACAAGGATCCTCATAATACATTTATGATAATTATTATTCAAATGAAAAGTATTCCAAAACTGATCATAGTAACTAAAGTTTTATTTTATTCCAAAGGACAAGCTTGTATAGCTCGTACTTCAGCGGTAAAACGACATTGAGCTAATTGTACCACATTCATGATTGTTGGATGTAAAACTGTTCTATCGCATATGTATGTCGTTGTCATAAAACGAAGTTCATCAAAACATATATCACCATTACTTGTTTTCATAACAATTCCTGTTCCTGGTCCACTGGGATTTTCTTCATACGTCGCATTATTATTTCGAGACCATGGTGATTTTGTATCCAAAAAGGCCATAGCAGACCATGATTTCAATGGACGATCATATTGACAACTCATTGCGTTTGGAAGAGTACGATTATAACATGGACTGGATTTGGAAAAACTACATGGAGTTAAAATATATTTGGATTGACCGTCCTTTCCATATAAAGTGAAATTACTTAAGCGATTTAAATCATATTTGTTCGAACCAAATGTTTGAAGACACGAGTTCATATAACATTTTACAAAACTTACATTCGAAATAAGTAATAATATCAAATAAAAGAAAGAAAAACGCATTCTTTTCGTTTGCAGTAGTCAAATCAAAACAAAGACAACAAGTCGATTTTCAGTGCATTTTAATCGTACTGATAATGAAAAAAAAGGACATTACTCATTTTTCAAACAATGAGATTGTAGATAAACATAAATGCCATGACTTTATACTTCAATTTTGCTAAAAATCTCATAAGATAGCTGAATTTATTTCAATATTTCGAAATAAATTCACTTAAAAAGGAACAATTGAAAGTATTTTGTACAAATATACCAAACTAGCGGAGATATCGGCTGCAAACTAAAACATAATAACTACATTAAAAAAGACATCGCACGTTGAGAAATGGGATGAAATGTACGTGTGAATATCCGTAAAACCGAAGCTCTACCAGATTCCTTTTTTCAATGTAGTTCTAACGAAGTATTTATTAAGATTTTTGACTCATCTGTGTTTGTTCTTAAAATCACACCCACATTCGAGGGTTTAGTGAGTCGGCACGACGAGCGTTGCTTGTTTTATTCGGAGAAAACTAAGTTGGAAAGAAACAATGTTTTTTCATCAACTTTTGTTATTCAACTCATTCTGTGATAAGCTGAAATCATATGTTTACAAAAGAATCGTAGAAATGTCACGTTTTCTTAACGGAAAATGAGTAAAAAAAACGGTGGATGAATGTATGATGGATATGTTGTCAGACTCTTTCCATAATCTGTTAATATATTCTAAATATGTTCACTTGTTTCTTTTTCTTTATTATTAGAAATATTCACAATTATGATGTCATCAACATTGATAGATAAGAAACCCGTCTGGTTGTGGCAATCGAATTCAAATCCATGGGATACGAATGAAAAAGAAGAATGGAAACGCTATTCGGATTTTGAAAATGAATATATTGAAGAAGCTTTTCAAGCACAAGCAAATGAAGTGCAACTTGGTGATTACATTATTGATTTAAAATATAATATTCAGTTTAAAAATGGTGAAATATGTCGACAAAGAATAGTTAAACGGGAATTAATTGATACTCATCAAAATGTGAGATGTGAACGATTTTCATATCCAGAGAAACCAGTGAAATCTTTCGGTATTGATATTAAATGGGATAATAGTCTTATCAAACATTGGAAAGAAACACATGAAGATTTGATAACCAACTATCCAGCTGTAGTTGAGTTAACTGTTCAAGGTAATCATTCCGTGATTTAACATTTCAAATCTGATATCATTAATTTTTTCTCATAGGAATTTTACATGAAGGTAAACTGTTGAAGAAAGATATTGATGCACAAAGAATAGCGAATTATCTGAAAACTTGTGAACCAAATTGGGATCAATTGGGACGATGTGCTATTCGTTTGTACACAGCATCGTCTTTTCTTTGTGATTCAGTTAACACAGCTTTAAGAAATAAGGACATGACTAAAGTTGACACATTGGGTCCATTTTGCTACTTGTTATCAGAACGTTTATTCTCGGGTGACTATTGTCCCAATCAAATACTTTATCGTGGTGCAACTCTTACAAATGAGATGATTGAAGAATATAAACAAGTGGTTGGAACAGAAATTACTTGGTTATCGTTCACATCTACCACAAAAGATCGATGTGTCGCAGAAATGTATACTGGTAATGTTCTTTTTATTATAACATTGAAATATAAAATATGGTCTTATGAACAAGACGTTTCTTCGATCTCATATTATCCCGATGAAGCAGAAGTTCTACTAACGGCAGGTTATCAGTTTCATGTTGACAAAGTCGAATTTGATTCAATTAATGAAAAACATATCATATACATGACAACATTATCTGGTGAGAAATTTTTAAATCCAAATATGCACACTAAAGTTCTCCCCGAACGTTCCACCAATCCTGATCTTAATAACTGTATCTATCTATTTGGTACGGGAATGACTATTGGTACCGCGGCAATGTGCGATGGTAAACTTCGTGTTTATCACTTTCCACCTTTGGATATGGAATGAGTCTGAAGACAAATTCAATTCATTTACTACATAAACTATTTCCACGCTCAGTTCATAATGTACAGAAATATCGAGAAATAACAACTATGAAGATCGCATCGGGTCATACAGAATTATTTCATTTCATTTGTAAAGATAAATTTATGTAATTTTGTTTCCGTATAGGGAAAAATATTTTCAAAAAACGCCATACTTTAAATTCTGACAAGTAACTTTTCATAATTGAACATTCAATTCGGAACAAACTGCATTATTTGCGCACGTTATTAATACAAATCACACATGTGAAAATAAATTAAATCTTTGAGTGGATCTGCGTAAAACGGAAGTTGACATCTGTTTTTCTTTTTAAATATCTGATTAATGATAAGCAAATAAATGCATTAGCAAAGCAATAATATTTCAGAAATCTCCACATAGTCATTTTTTTAATCACATTTTCTTGATAAGATGTTTTCTTGGCGATATTCCTCATGTTTTTCCTTTTTCATTTATTTGACTTTTGTCAAATCTCAATTGAATCTTTATTATACGGATAAATTCGATTCAATCGAAAGTCATGATTATCCATTACAAATGAATTGTTTATATATATTTCAACCTACTCGAGCAAAGTTTGGTGAATACAAAACAGTGATCTTTTGTCTCAGTGAATCATTACCAACGATTCATTCTGATTTTTCTCCATCATATACTTTCGCCGATCTTCAAAAACAAAATATAACTAGTGAACAATTATATCGTTGGTCAGCACCAATTGATCTCATTGAACGTTATCAAATTTATCTCAATGAATTCTCAATTCGACAAGGAGAAGATCTTTATTATAATTGTACATATCCACGATTTGGTCCAATGTGTCAATATGAACTCGAACTCTCTTCTCGTTATGATCTTAACAAATCTAAATCTTTTCAACATATCATTTGGGATTTTTATAATAAATTTCCATATAAATCAACGAATGAAGTGACGTGTTATATTGATTTCCAATGTCAACAATCGTTGACATCATCATGTTTGGATTGGACTGACATTTGTGATGGAAAAGTTGATTGTTTAGATACAGGTGCAGATGAAGAACATTGTTGGCAATTAGAAATGAATGAATGTGAAGAGAATGAACATCAATGTTCAAATGGACAATGTATTCCAAAAGAATTTTTTCGAGATGGAATGATTATTCGTGATTGTCTCGATGGAAATGATGAAATTTCTATTCTTAGTTATTTATATACAAAAATTGAAGATACTATTTGTGAAAATCTTCTTTTCACACGTTCATGTTCACAACAACGACAAGAATTTTTAATAAACAAAATCTATTCATTGAAAAATAACACAATCTCACACGATTGTTGGTTGGCATCGAAATGTTTATTACAAATACTCGAAGTTGATCTGTCAAAATGTAATTTCTTATGTCGAAATAATCAATGTGTGATGATGATTGAAAACACTTGTCCAGAAATGTTTTATATTCCAAATGTTCCGATTATCTCTGATCACATTTATCTCGCTTATACGAAATATGATATTATTAAAGGATTTTTCCATCCATTTATTTGTTCGAAATACTTTGATGAGAAGAATTTTCTGGGTCATATTACAATCATCAGATTTAATGATCAAATTTGCTTTCGACCAGTAAAAATTCCCAAATTATCAAGTTCTTTAGGAGAAAAATTGCGAACAAATTTTCATCGATCATTTTATCAAATCTATTCTTCATTAAAAAGACACACGAGATTTCTTAATCAAAGTTCGATCTCTTGTCAACAGTTAAATGTGTATCAATGCAACGGAACATCTCAATGTATTCCTGCTTTTCGTTTTAAAGATCATCATTATGATTGTCCCAATTGGGATGATGAAGAAATTCATTTAATTAACATAACACTTTTATCTCGACAAATACGAGAACAATTGTTCAAATGTGAAATCTCGAATAAATATATTTCTCGAAAGTCGTTTGACGATGAAATCGACGATTGTCCTGTTCGTCTACCAAAATTATTTTCCGAAGATGAACCACGAAATACTCGATATGAAAAACGTTTCTTCTCCTTCTATTCAATTTGTGATGGACATGTTGATCTTTATCCGATATTAATCAATGGACAAAATATGACAGATGAAACTGATTGTGAACAATGGCAATGTCATAATCTTTACACAACTTGTGATCAAATCTGGAATTGTCCTTATGGTCAAGATGAAATCAATTGTAAATCATCTTTAACATATAAATGTCCTTCGATTGATACAAAACAGATGATTAATTTACCCATTAAACGAATCAATGATGGTCATATAGATTGTTTTGGTGCTTATGATGAACCAAAAATGTGTCCATCGGATATTTATCAAGGATTTTATTGTAACAGAACAAATGAACAATCGTGTTTGAAATCTTTACGTATATGTTCTACAAACGAGAAATGTGTTCATCCAAATGACTTTGTTTATTGTCGAAATAGTTCAAATAAATCATTGGTTAACATTCTTACATTGATTAATTTCAATAAAACTCTCGATCTTATTCAATATTTCAACTCTCAACTACAACTCGATAGTCAAATCGATGAAATGAAATATTTTTCATTGGATAGAACGATCAATAAAGTATCAACAACAACAACAACAACAGGAAAACTCGAACAGAATCGACTGATATTTCTTTCTGATGAACATTATTGTCATCGTGGACTTGTTGTTCATGTCACATTGAATCCAAAGACAAATTTCACCAAGCGAACATGTTTTTGTTTACCAAGTTATTATGGTTCACGATGTCAATATCAAACTCATCGTATAAGTCTTGGTCTTCGATTTCGCGCATTATCTGATTCTTGGCAAACTTTATTTGCGATTGTTATTTCATTGATTGATAATACAAATGAAAGAACAATTCATTCTGTTGAACAATTCAGTTATTTATCAATACGTGATTGTAAAGTCAAATTTAATAATGATTTGTTTTATGCAACACGTTCAATGAATTTAACAAGAAAATATTTTCTTCATATCGATATTTATGAAAAGATTTCATTGGATTATCGAGGAAGTTTATTATTTCCATTAAAATTTGCTTTTCTGCCTGTTTATCGTTTCTCACTTCTCATTCAAATTCCACAAAAATCTTCTATTTGTTCGAAAAAGAAATGTCAACACGGAAAATGTCGAAAATATTCGAACATCGAAGAAACATTTTGTCAATGTGATTCAGGTTGGTCAGGTGAATTTTGTCATATTGAACAACATTGTAAATGTTCATCGGATTCTTTATGTCTTGGAAGAAATACAAAGACAAATCGATCGATATGTGTTTGTTCGATAAATAGATTTGGTTCTCAATGTTATCTGATCAATTCAATTTGTCAAAAA